ATCAAAACTCAATCACGACGTACACAAAGTGTATAGCATAACACGTTTAATCAACACTCGAACATTAGGCAAGCATGATCAAGATCCTCAATCAAGAACGAACAAAGGACAAGAAAGTCTCGTGAATTCACATGCAAGTTCTAATGCTAACAAATAATCATTTCATTTGATAAAAACCGTCAAAATCATTGAGTGCATAAAGCATGAGAGTTAATAATGAACACAAACGACAATCCAATCTAGCCACTTAGTCATTCCGAGCAATTGGATTCACATCAATTCTCATATGGGGAAATCGACACAAAACACACAAAAACAAATAAAACCGGTCCACGACACAACTAAACAAAAAGAAAATACGCCTAAACCATGCATAATCACGCAAACCCCTCCCCCACACTTAAAACAAAGCAATGCCCTCATTGCTTGACCCAAAAAGCATAGGAAAGAGCACGTAATCACACAAGCTTATGCGAGAAAATAAAAAATAAAAACAAAGGAAAGAAACACATAATCAAATAAAAAGGAAGAGAAAGGGAAAATACGAAAAAGAAAAGAAAGCGCGTACTCTACACGGTATGGCCATAACCGTGTGTCGAATAGTATTCGTCCGGTAAGGAGAGAGAATGAATATAATGTGTGTCCCTCGAGCTCGGCTTGAAACATCCAATCGGATTGACATGAAGCACGGACGGACCATGAACCAAACGGACGAATGTAAATAATAATGGCATGAGTGAGACCTCGTGCATGTTCCTCGGAGAGATAAGGGATGTGAAAGCATGAACTCGACGTAGACACGTGATACAATGAATGTCCAAAAATCGGCCTCGGTCCAAGTTCGATCCTACCCCACACTTACTTCCGACCAAATCCTCGGTTTTGTCGCCTTTAACGATTCCCGGCGCTTGCCGAAAAATTTTTAACCCTACAATCCATAGATCCGAAAACAATGCACAATATATGGCACACCCGGCAAGGCGTGCCGCTCAATCACGAGCCAACTCCAACACCCACACGACTACTCCGGCAAGAGTAGCATTCCCAAGGTCAACAGACACAATACAAGTCAAAGATAGGTCAAGCCGGTGTACCTTGGGTGTAGACGAGACA